AAGAACAATTATAGGAATAGTAATAATAATGTTACGAAGAGGAATAATAATAGTAACACTAATAGTAATAAGACTAATACGAATTATAATAATATTATTGTTATTATTACTAATATTATTAATACTTATACTAATAATACTACGACTACTAATACTACTAATGATAATAATGCTAATACTAATAAGAAGACGACAAATAATACTGATAATAATACATATATTCGTAAGAAAACGAATAGTAATAGTAAGAAGAAGAATAATCATAATAATAAGAAGAATGGGACTAGCAAGGAGAAGAATAATAAGAATAATAAAATGAATAGTAATACTAATAATGCGACTATTAATAATAAGAAGAATAATATTAAGACGAAAAAGAAGAATACTACTAAGAAGGCAAATAATACTACTAGAAATAAGAATAAGAATAATACTAAGAAGAAGCATACTACTACTACTACTACTACTACTATTACTACTACTACTACTACAACCACGACTACTACTACTACTACTACTACTACTACTACTACTACTACTACTACTACTACTACTACTACTACTACTACTACTACTACTACTACTACCGCCCCCCCCTTTGATTTGACCCCGATACCCCCTTCCTGGGGGACTTCCCCCCCCTCTGCCCCTCCCTCCCTGAGGAGTCCAATCATTCGCTTCATGGGGGGAGGCCGCGGCCCCATGAAGCGAATCCCGCATGCTCGGGGGGCGAAAGTCCAAAAACACAGGAAAAACCAAAAAAAAACAAAAAAAACAAAAAAACAATCCTGGCGAACTTTTCGCCCTCCCCACCCCCTCCGAGGAATTCCTCAGGATTTTTTTTTTTTTTTGTTTTTTTTTTTTTGTTTTCCTTGTGTTTTTTTGGTTTTTCGGCCCTCCACCCTTCCCCCTGGGGAGCGGGCGGCCCCAGGAGCCCCCAAGAGGACCATGGGAGGCACCAGAGAGCCCCCAGAGAGGCATGATGAGAGGGGGGATTCTGTAGCAGTTTTTGGCACTACCAAAGCACCAGGAAACACCAGCCAACCACTCCAAAGGGCGCCCTTTAGACTACTACTACTACTACTACTACTACTACTCCTACTACTACTACTACTACTACCACCACTACTCTTACTACTACTACGACGACTACTACTACTACTACTACTACTACTACAACTAGGGAGTTGATGAGTATTATTCCTTCCACTACGACTACCACTACCACTGCTACTACTACTACTACTACTACGACTGATACTACTACTACTACTACTACTGCTGCTACTACTACTACTACCACTACTACTACTACTGCTACTACTACTACTACCACTACGACTACGACTACTATGACCGCTACTACTACTACGACTACTACGGCTATTAGTATGATCCCTACTACAATACTACCGCTACCACTACTACTGCCACTACGTCCACTACTACTACTATTATGTTCTCTACAACCACGACGACTACTACTACTACTACTACTACTACTACTACTACTAGTGCTACTACTACTACTACGACTACTACTATTACTACTACTGCTCCTGCTACGTCTACTATTACTTCTGCTACTAGTACTGCTACTATACTGCTACTTCTTGAATTATTCCGGCTGCGACTACTACTATTACTACTACTACCGCCACTACTACTACTACTACTACTACTACTACTACGACTACTACTACTACTACTATTACTATTGCTGCTACTGTTGTTCCCAAGCTTATTGCCGCAACGACTGTTACTACGACTACGACTACTACTACTACTACTACTACTACTACTACGACTACTGCTACTACTACTACACTACTACTACGACTACGACTACTACCACGACGATTACTACTACTACTACTACTACTACTACTACTACTACGGCTACTACTACTACCACTGCTACTACGACAAGTGCTACTACTACTATCCGTGTTACGAAAACTACTACTACTACTATTTCTAATACTACCACTACTGCTTCTAAGTGTTTTTTTACTACTGCTAGGACGACTTCCACGACTGCGACTACTAGTAACACTACTACTACTACTACTACTACTACTACTACTACTACTACTACGACTACGACTACGACTACGACTGCTTCGGCTACCACGATCTCCACTAGTACTTTTACTACGACTACTGCCACTACGACAACTACTACTACTACTACTACTACCACCTACTACTACTACTACTACGACGACGACGACTACTAAACCTACTACTAGTACTACCACCACTGCTACGACCAGTACGTTTACTATTGCTACAACCGCTACTACTACGACTACGACTACTACTACTACTACCTTTTGCTAGTACATCTACTACGACTACTACGACGACTACTACTCCTACCTTTACTACTACTACTACGTCTGCGACTTCTACCACTACTACTATTACTACGAGTACCACTACTATTACGACTACTACGACTATTACGACGACTACTACTACCACTACTACGACTACTTATATTTCTACCACTACTACTACAACTACAACTACTACTACTACTACTACTACTACTACTACTACTACTACTACTACTACTATAAAGGGCCTGCTTTCGCTCAGCATGCGGCGACCACATACCCGCCTCGCATGGGCCCCGCGAAAACGAACGCCGCCTCCCTCGCAGCGACGTCGGGGAGGGGGCGTATCGGGGTCAAATCAAAGGGGGGGGGGGGGGGGGGGGGGCGTAATAATAGTAGTAATAATAATAAGAATACTAATAATAATAATACTAATAATAATACTACTAATAATACTAATAAAAAGACGAATAAGCATAATAAGAATACTAATGCAAATGATAATACTAATTATCCCAGCAAAGCAACCTAACAGCGATGTGTAGAAGCATATCTGAAAGCATTCCCCTTAAGATTCAGATGAAAATCCAGTTGTAGAATTCTGCTGTTCTCGCAGTCGTAGTCGCATTCGCGATGACAGTCGCAGCGGCAACGGCAGTCGCAGTCACAGCCTCAGCCTCAGCCTGCCTCAGCCTCAGCCTCAGCCTGCCTCAGCCTCAGCCTGCCTCAGCCTCAGCCTCAGCCTGCTTCAGCCTCAGCCTCAGTCTGCCTTCAGCCTCGGCCTCAGCCTCAGCCTGCCTCAGCCTCAGCCTGCATCAGCTCAGCCTCAGCCTCAGCCTGCCTCAGCATCAGCCTGCCTCAGCCTCAGCCTCAGCCTGCCTCAGCCTCAGCCTCAGTCTGCTTCAGCCTCAGCCTCAGTCTGCCTTCAGCCTCGGCCTCAGCCTCAGCCTGCATCAGCCCCAGCCTGCCTCGGCTCGGTCGCAGCATCAGCCTGCCTCAGCATTCAAAATATGGCCCAGGAGCGGAGTTCTGGGAACTAGAAGAACACGAAGTGGCCTACAGTTGGCTCCGGGCATTCAAAATGTGGCCCGGGAATGGAGTTCTGGGAACTTGAAGAGCACGAAGTGGCCTACAGTTGGCTCCGGGCATCCAAAATGTGGCCTGGGAGTGGGATTCTGGGAAGTCGAAGAGCACGAAGTGGCTTAGAGTTGGCTCCGGGCATTCAAAATGTGGCCCAGGAGTGGAGTTCTGGGAAATCGAAGAGCACGAAGTGGCCTACAGTTGGCTCCAGGCATCCAGAAACTGGCCCGGGAATGGAGTTCTGGGAGGTCGAAGAGCACGAAGTGTGTGACCGTTAGCAAAAAGCGAGCCCGGCTCTGTTCCCCGTTCTCCAGAATGTGTCCCCGGAGTGGAGTTCTGGGAGGTCGAAGAGCACGAAGTGTGTGACTGTTTGCGAAAAACGACTCCCGGTTCTCCTCCCCGGCACCCGCCCAGACCTTCCTGAGGAGTCATGATGCTCTCTTTTGACCCTACTAGAAACCTATCAGCAAACGCTGTTAGGTAATAAAAAGAATAATATTAATACGAATAAGAAGAATAATAAGACAAATAATAGTAAGAATAATAATACGAATACTAAGAACAATAATAATAATTATAATAATAATAGTACTAATAATAATAATATTAATAATAATATGAAGAAGAAGAAGACTATAATAAAACTGCGAATAATGATAATACTAATAATAATGATCAGACTGCTAATAATACTACGCATACTACTACTCATATTAATAAGAGTACTACTACACTACTACTACTACTACTACTACTGCTACTACTACTACTACTACTACTACTACTACTACTACAACAACTACTACTACTAGTACTACTAATCATACTACTAATAATAGTAATAATGATACTAATAATAGTAGTAGTAGTAGTAGTAGTAGTAGTAGTAATAATAATAGTAATACTAATAATGATGCTGATGATGATGATAATAATAATAAGAGTTAATAGTAATATTCAGAATAATAATACTATCAATAATAATAATTTTATTAATAAAAATAATAATCATAATAACAATACTAATACTACTACTACTACTAATAATAATAATAGTAATTTTAATATTGCTAATCATAATAGTACTAACTATAATAATAAGAGGAGGAGGAGGAGGAGGAGGAGGAGGAGGAGGAGGAGGAGGAGGAGGAGGAGGAGGAGGAGGAGGAGGAGGAGGAGGAGGAGGAGGAGGAGGAGGAGGAAGAGGAGGAGGAGGAGGAGGAGCAGGAGGAGCAGGAGGAGCAGGAGGAAGACGAGGAGGACGACGACAACTACGAAAACAAGTTTCCCTCCCCCCCCCCTCCCCAGTCGGGTGGCATATAGGGGGGGTGACTTAAATGGGGTGGTGACGAGGACCCTAAGCGGGCCCTTTCGGGCTCGTTTTGTGGCCCGAGAAGGTTTTTCTAGGGGCCCCGGAAGGGCCCCCTTTAGAGCGTCTTTCTTCCCTCCCAATAGTTAGGTCCCCGCCCGACCATGACGTCCCCCCTCATCGGGGCGGCAGACGACGGCGACGACGACGACGACGACGACGACGACGACGAAGAGGACGACGACGACGACGACGTTCCCCCTCATCAGGGCGGCAGGCCTCGAGGATGGCGTCTGTGCCTCCGTTCTCTCGGGGGCTGCCGTGGCCACCTGCGAGCGCGCCCTGGGAACGCCTGGCGGCTTCGAGGCCTGGGACATTTCGGAGGCGACGGGGTGGCGAATAGCCCAGGCCCAAACCTCCCCCTCCACACCTCATCCTCTTGCTCCACCTCCTCCTCTTCTTCCTCCTCCTCTTCTTCTCCTCCTCCTCCACCTCTCCCTCCCCCTCCCTCCCTCGTGCGTTTTTGTTTGATTGTTTGTTTTTTTGCTTCTTCTCTTTCCAATCCCGCCGCTTCAAAACATGCGAAGTGCCAGTCCCATGGTCTGCTTGCGCTCCTCCTCCCAAGCCTTCCGTCCCCCTCTCCCCCTCCCCCTGGCCGTGGTAAGCACGCGTGTCTTTGTATTTCCTGTTCTCTTGCGAGCGTGCCAATGGGCACATTTCGTATTGCCTGTGCCTCTGCGTCCTCTCTGGTGCACGGCTTTGTGTCTGTCTGTCTGTCTGTTTGTCCGTCCGTCCGTCCGTCTGTCGTCTTTCCTAGATTTCGGCCTCTGGAACCCTCTGTTGGGCCCCGGGGAAATTCAAAATGAATCCGCGGAGCAAAACTGGGGTCGGGAGCTCTTTGGGGCCGCGCTTTTAGAACAATCATATCGGAGGATGTCTGGGGAGAGCAGCGCGTCTATCCAGGGGCGCCAACCCAGACCCCCGACGTCATGTTTTTTTCATAAGAGGGATCCCCAGAGGTCTCGACCCATTCCTTGGTGTAGGCTTTTCATCCTGGTTTGTTTTTGTGGACGGATGCCGGAGGCCCTGTGGCCACCAGGGCGGCCCTCAGAGCATTTCGGACTCCCCAGCCTCAACAGCGGGCGGGCGCTCAACCCAGGTGTATTTGTCTACTTGGCCATGGTGATGACTGCGGTAGGCCTTCCAACCCAGACGGCTCCCGCTGGGACTGTGTGTGGTCGTCAACCCAGGCACCGCGCTTGACTTCTCTACCAGTCTGCGTACCAGTTAGGTGCACCTGAACCTTGCTGCAGGGGTTTCCGCAGTGGCCTTTCAACTCAGGGGGCTGCCGCTTTCTGCACCAATTTGCACCTCAGGTGGCTGCTTCCGCGGTACCTGGCTCCTCTGTCGATGTCGGCGTCCTCCCAACCCATGAGAGCACCGCCCGTTTCTTTCCCACCAGTCAGCGCACCAGTGAAGTGCATTTCTGCCGCGCTTCCGCCGCGCGACCGCCGCTCAAGACCTCCTGCGCACTGTCCAACCCAGGCAGTGTGTAGCAGGACCTGGGCGACCCCCCCATCCCGCCTCGCCGCCCTCTCCCGCCGCTTGCCCCCCCCCCCCTTCCCCCCTTTGGGGCTCGCCCCTCGCCTAGCGAACCGCACGCTGGGTCTTCGTCGCTGGTGGCGCTGTAGGGGTCACTTCCCTGTCGGCAGTGTGTGCTGCAACACTCGGGGGTCCCCGCTGCTGCGGCTTGCCTCCCGTTTTGCCTCCTCCCAGGTGGCTGCTGGCCTTGGCGCCACCCCCAACCGTCGGCCCCGCGTAGCGGCCCGACCCTCCCTGCCTGTCCCAGGCCGTGATTCCGTGCAGCAGCCTTGGGTCCGCACGCACCCCCTGCGCCCCGCTCTCGCCTAGCAAGCGGTGCGCCATGTGGGTTCACGCTGGCGTCGCTTTGCAGCCCCTGCGTGCACAGGTGGTCTTGCCCCTGTCCGCAGTCTCGCTGCCATGCCTGGGGGCCACCGCCGTTGCGACTCGCCTCTCATTTTGCCGCTCGGCCTCCACTTTGACAGCCTGCCGGGCTCGTCCTTCCCCCCCCAGGGCCCCGCTCGTGCGCGACTTGCACTGGGCGACTCCTGACTCCTTGCCGTGATGCCGTGCACCAGCTATGGGGTGGCGCTATCCGCTATCTTCTCCTGCGCCCCTGTCTTCATCCCCGTGCCCCGCGACGGGTCGGCCCGCTTGGCTGCCCATGCAGCCTGCCCCGCCACCGCCGCCCTGGGCTCCCCGCAGCTGCTGCAGCGCCGGCGCCCCTCCCCTTGCCGCCGCCAGCTCCCACGCCGCTGCTCCTCCCGCTGGAGCCTGGTTCTCCGGTCGCTTGCTGCTCCCGCTCTTCTATTTGCTGGGCCGTGCCCTCGCAGTGAGGCTGCTGGGTCCCCCCCTGGGTGTGTTGCGACGCCGACCCGTAGCCGCTGCCACGGGCTACCCTTCAGCCCGGCCGCGCACGCGCACCTGCCACAACTTCGCTGCGTGAGTGTGCCCCTGCGCTCCACCTTCTTCTCTGCGGCCGCCCCTCCTCCCTTCCTCCCCTCCTGCGTGCGGGCTAGTTCGCGGTGCTGTGTCCCGGTGCTGTGCCGCGCTGCGCCGCAAAAATTTATCCTGGCGAAGGACCCAACCATATGCAGCTGTGAGTACCGCGTTGTGGGTACCGCTCTCGGTGGAACCCCCTTATGGTGTGCCGAAATGGGCGGGGGGACGCATGCAAACTCTGCCGCTCGGGCCTTCGGTGGAGCTCCCTATGGGGTCGCGATCCTCGTGAGTGGTGTGCCGAAACGGGACGCGTGCAGACCCTGCCGCTGGGGCCTTCGGTGGAGCTCCCTATGGGGCCACGATCGGGGTGTGCCGAAATGGGCGGCGGGACGCATGCAAACCCTTCCGCTGGGGCCTTCGGTGGAGCTCCCTATGGGGTCGCGATCCTCGTGAGGTGTGCGCCGAACTGGGCGGCGGGACGCGTGCAGACCCTGCCGCTGGGGCCTTCGGTGGAGCTCCCTATGGGGCCACGATCCTCGTGAGGTGTGTGCCGAAATGGGCGGCGGGACGCGTGCAAACCCTGCCGCTGGGGCCTTCGGTGGAGCTCCCAATGGGGCCACGATCTTCGTGAGGGGGTTGCAGAAATCAGCGGAGGGACGCATGCAGACCCTGCCGCTAGGGCCTTCGGTGGGGCTCCCTATGGGGCCACGATCCTCGTGAGGGGTGTGCCGAAATGGGCGGCGGGACGCGTGCAGACCCTGCCGCTGGGGCCTTCGGTGGAGCTCCCTATGGGGCCACGATCTTCGTGAGGTGTGTGCCGAAATGGGCGGCGGGACGCGTGCAAACCCTGCCGCTGGGGCCTTCGGTGGAGCTCCCAATGGGGCCGCGATCTTCGTGAGGGGGTGTGCCGAAATGGGCGGGGAAACGCATGCAAATCCTGCCGCTGGGGCCTTCGGTGGAGCTCCCTATGGGGCCACGATCCTCGTGAGGCGTTTGCAGAAATCAGCGGGGGGACGCATGCAAATCCTGCCGCTCGGGCCTTTTGTGGAGCTCCCTATGGGGTTGCGATCCTCGTGAGGGGTGTGTCGAAATGGGCGGCGGGACGCGTGAAGACCCTGCCGCTGGGACCTTCGGTGGAGCTACCTACGAGGCCGCGATCCTCGTGAGTTGTGTGCCGAAATGGGCGGCGGGACGCGTGCAGACCCTGCCGCTGGGGCCTTCGGTGGAGCTCCCTATGGGGCCACGATCCTCGTGAGGGGTGTGCCGAAATGGGGGGGACGCATGCAAACCCTGCCGCTGGGGCCTTCGGTGAAACTCCCCATGGGGCTACGATCCTCGTGAGGGGTGTGCCAGCATGGTGGACATGCGGCGAGCAGAATTATGATGGGCATGCGAGAGAGCAGAGACAGGGAGGGGAGGGGGAGGAGGGGGAGGAGAGCGGGAGGTGAGGTAAGCTGAGGCGCTGGGCGCCGTCTCTTCAAAACGAGGACCCAACACCACAGGATGGTTGAAACAACTTGTTGTGGATGGTCCTGGGGCTCGGCGAGAGCTCCTAGAGGACGAAAAGGGCAAAGAATGTCCGCATAGAATCTTCCACTGTTCCCCAGCGAATGCGTGCAGTGTCCGCCCATGGGCTATCCGCCCCTACTCGTCGCCCCCGGGGCGTGCGGAGCCGCACCCTGGCGCGCTTCTTCGCGAGCCGCCGCGGCGTCGACTACCACCTGTTCGAGGATCGGTGGCGAGCGAGGGGGGGAGTGAGAAGGAGAAGTCCCTCTCGGAAGGCGGCGGGACTTTTCAGAAACCCTCGCGCCTTCGGAGAGTTTTTTTTTGCGTCCCCCGGGAAGGCGTCGAAGGCCTTTCAGAAGGCCAGTTTTTTGTTGTTGTTGAGTTTTCCGACAAGGCCTTCTTCTTCTTCTTCTCGCTTCCCCACGGGCTCTCCCCCATGCCACTCCTCTCTGCTGCTGCTGCTGCTGCTGAGGGGTGGTGGAGGCCCATGGGGAGGCGGGGGGGAAAGGAAGGGGCGACGAGGTGGGGCATGAGGGCTTCGGGCTCGGGAGGAGTCGGGAGCCGTCCGTGGAGGGGCCGAGACAGCTCGCCGCCGCGAGGACATCTCCGCGGTTTGGGGGCTCTGAGCCCCCGCAGGCCGGGCCCGGCCGCCACCCGCGCCAGGGCCGGCGGCGCGGGCGGGGCGCTTGCTCCCTCCTCCCTCCTCCCTCCTCCCTCCTCCCTCCCCCCCCCCCTCCCTCCTCCCTCCTCCCTCCTCCCTACTATGTGGTTGGCGGCGCGCGGGCGGTGAAACACCAGCCCTCGGCAGCCTGAGCCGCCGAGAGATGGCGGACGACGGATCGGGTGAGGAGGGAGCCGACTGGGATTTCTGGGAGACACTTGCAGCATGAAAATCGATTAGACGTAGGAGTGACCTTTCGCCAGAGTGACCTTTGGCGGGCCCAAGGAGGACCCCCGATCGCTGAACGCGTAATTAGCGGCAGCAGCGGCTTGCGCGCCCGGGTTTGGCCCCTCCGCGTACCCCCGTTGAGTCGCGCACCAACGGTCACTCTTGCCCAGGGTCGCTCGTGCGTGTAGCCGAGAGATAGCTCAGGATGAAAAGCTGGTTCCTGGGAAGGTGTTCCAGATCTCTGGAGGTCCACGCCATGAAGTCATAAATCATGGCGCCAGAGGTGTGGGGCCCCTCTACTCGGGACCGGCTCCTCATCCTGAGCTGCTTTACTGATGGCCCCCCAGGGCCTAGTGAGGGCCCCCTGGAGGTTGAGACCAGCCAGAACCTTATGCTCGTTTTTTTTGCGGCGAGAGGATGTGAGTGCCTTCTCCCGTCAGATGGTTGCTTTGGGCACCTTCCCGGGGCCCACCTACTGAATCTGTTCGGCTCTAGTCCGAGTCTAGCTCGACTCGAGCTCGGCTCGAGCTCGACCCAGGTCCGACTCGAGCCCGACCCAAGCCGACGGACCTTCGACGCAGCATCGACGCGCGAGTGGAGCCAGTGGCTCCAGGAAGGCCCCCAGAGCGAGCCTCCGGCTCCTGGGCCTGGGGTCCAGGACCCGCTTCCCACAGGGCTCCCCCATGCCAAAACTACGGTCGGGAATTTTGGCCCAGCGTGTTGCGCCGCCGGCTCTGGCCCACCACGCTTCAGAGCGGCACGTCATCCACGTCCCAGTCCCCGACCGTCCATGTTCCGAGCCTTTCCCAGCCTCCCGCCCCGCGGAGCGGAGAGACACGCGATCCGCTCACAAGGCATGGTGTGTCGCCAGGGCCGCCGCAGCGACACGCTATCCAAAAGTTCCCGACAGTAGCCCCAGACATGCGGCGCCCTGTTTTTTTCAATACGGTGTCCCCGGCAGTCCCGGCCCTTTTCCGGGGATTGTTTTTTTTGTCCTGAGCCGCTTTTTGGTGGTCCTGGGGCCCGCCGAGGGCCCGTTTATAGAGACCAAAATCGGCGTCACCCCAACATGCTAATACTATGTGTGCGTCGCCTCCCCCCCCCCCCTCCCAGGGGCGACGCTCGCCGGGAAATCTTATCGTACGTGCTTTTTGGCGAGCGCTTTCTGGCCGTACCTCTCGGGAAACGATATACCACGACATGGCTGTACCAGATGTTCGGGTCGGACGCACGCCTCCAAAGAGGACATATACCCACCACGGCCCACGGGCGCCTCAAAGGGGAACCCTCAGTGGGCCGTCCCGGGGCACTGGTGCCTCTGGAGGGGTCGTGTGTGGGGGGGCGCGGGCCGCCCAAGGGGAGCCCTCTGAAAGCACAGATGTTTGGCTGCAGTGGGTGGGCCTCCTCCTTCTCAGCTCTCCTCCTTTTCGTCCTCCTCATCCTCCTCTTCCCTCCTCCTCCTCCTCCGTAGCCATTTTTGCTCAAGCCATTTTGGCTCAATCCGTTTTGGCTCCAGACTAGCGTGGGGTACCGGGAAGGAACGAGGTTCCGAGGTAACACGATTAGTCTTGGCCTCGTCCGTGGCCAAGACTCGAGCTTCCTTCGGCCGACAGGAGTCCAACGCTTTTTCACGCGCTAGACTCTCCACAGTCCCCGTTCTTTCAGAACCGCCAGTCGCCTTTCCTCAGTCACCCTCAGCCATGGCTGTAGGTGACATGAACTCCCTGGTCGTGAATGTGCAGTCAGCTCTCGAGCAGATTCACAGCTCAGATCAAGGAGCTGGGCAATACGATGCAGGCCAGCTTCGCTGAGCAGCTCGGCATGTTGACGGACGCGGTCAACAAGCGCATCGATGATAACACCGCAGGGGATATTGGCACAGTCGGCTCACATCCAGTCCGTCCACGCACAGCTGAAGGAACATCATGGGCCATGCAGCTACTCCAGTCCTCCTCTACAGCAAGTGGGTTCAGTTCAGCAGCTTCAGGTACGGTGCCAGGGATTCTTGGATTGGCATAGTTTCGGCCTCTCCGGAAACCAAGTCACGGCGAGTTGAAAGCAGCGTAAGAGATGCCCCGCAGGCCTCTCAGTCCTCCTCTTACAAGCACGACAGGTGCAGACGATGGATCGGCACCTTTCCTCGGCCAGCTCTCGCATCCATGAGGCAAGCGCGCTTTGCCAGCTTCAAGGACCCGATCGTGACGGCGGTCACGCTCAACAGCGTGACGCCACAGTTTCACCGTATCAGCCAGTCGTACAGTCTCATCTTCTCGAGCGAGGAGTTCACCGATATCTACAATGCGCCCCAGAACCAGTAGATGGATCCGCGTGACGGATCGCTCCACATCGTGAGGGCCAGGACCGACCTCCCGCTCGATGTCCGCACCAAGCAGCGCGCTCTGAGCAAGACCTGGGACCCGATCATGTTCTCCGCTAGTCCACACTTCTCCGCTGGTTGGAAGTCCTTCATCATTGGACCAACGGCACGGACATCTGGCCGCTTATCTCGTTCAACGAAGCCAACCACGCAGTTGGCTCCTTCGACGCCGATCAGGACACGTGCAGCCACTTCCAGAAGGATATGCAGAAACTGAACGCCATCATGTCGGACGTCAACACACGGGCGGTCTATATCTGGTGAACGCCAACGTCACACTTATCGGATATCGACATCGAAGACTGGAGTGAGACCGTCGCGGTGGAGTCCAGCGACTTCGACGCCGCGTGCTCGCCTTCAGGTACACATTCGACTGCTACGACTTCGCTAGATTCCCTGGTCGTGTGTTGTCTATGCAGTGCTGTGGGCCGAATGGGTCTCTCCAGATATCAGCGGTGCATCTTGTTCCCGAGTGGTCAGAATGGCACGCTCGCTTCGCCCTGGCCTCCCTCTTCCGGCAGATGCTGCCGCGGTTTCAGTGCGCGAGTGTGATTCTTGGAGACTCCAATTTTCACATGCATGGTTCAGCTAGATACTGCCCGACACCTCCGACACCTTCGCCTGCCCCATCACGCCTTGCAACTGCCTTCGATGCCCTCTTCCGGAGTTACTCTGAAGTTGAATGGCCATCTTTTACTCATGAAGCTTGTCGTCGAAGCAATGATAGATTCGATAGACTATGCATTCGCGTGAATACTTCCACGCCACTTGATCACCGTCCTGTGTCTGGAGTCATATGGGAAGTTACGGGGGAGCACGAGCCCTCCGATCACGTGCCCGCTTTCCTCACCCTGCAGCCGCCCCGTGCACCAGAGAGTGGGGCAGCTGGCGTTCCTCCTTGGGTTGCCAAGCGTGCGACGTTTCGTGAGTTTGTGGGGCAGCTCATTCAAGATGTTGGGCTTTCGCCCCATACGCCGACGAAAGTGAAGGACATCAAAGCCATCTCTCATCTTGCCTCCATTCAGGTGCGCCATCATTTTGAGATTGCGGGAGCCGTCGCGAAGGCTGAGAAGGCCGCCGGCATGTTGGAGCTCGTTCGTGCAGATCGCTCTCAGAGTCCGCGGCGCGCTCGCCGAGCTTGCTGGGGGCGCGGGCGTTCGTTCGCTTTCCTTGGCCCTGCCGCGACGGCGCGGCTGGGCCAGGCTGGCTTTCGCGCCAACCTTGCCGAGCCGATGGGGGCCCAGCACAATGAGGGAACGAGGGGGGGTTCCTGAGGCGCATGGAGGAGGGGGTGGATAGAGCTGAGCAAGACATTCGACGTGTTCGTAGGCTCTCCTCTGCCCGGTCAGCTCTGCGCCCTCGCGTCGAGCTCGTAGGCGCGACAGGCCCCAGGGTCGAAGTGTGCGCAGACCCGAACGAGGCAGCAGTTCAGCTAGCCAGTTAACGGGGGGAGGTCTTTAGCGGCGATCCCAGCATCTTTCCCGATGAACATCCTTGCCGTAGCTATATTTAGCGCGTCGCGAAGACAGATTCTCAGCCGAATCGCCTCCAAAAGCCAGAAAGAGTGTGTTCTGATGTTCTACCGCCGCTGGCGGAAAACCCGGGGGGGGGGCAATGCCCCCCCCCCCCCTCGAAAGCGGGGGGGGGTGCTGCCCGTTCGAACCCCCCTCCCCCCCTCCCCCCAGTCCATGGTGAAAAGGAAGGGGGGTCACTGCTGGTTCGAGACCCCCTCTCCTCCGCCCCCCCCAACCCTCGCCCGCGCCTCCCCCTCCTCGCCGCTGGGCAGTGGGAAAGTGGCGGGGGCCCTGGGACAGCGGTGGGGGCGGTGGTGGTGGTGGGGGCAGTGGGGCGCAGAGGTGGGGGCGGTGGGGGCGGCGGGGCAGTGGCGGGGGGCGGTGGTGGTGGGGGCAGTGGCGAGGGGACATTGGGACAGTAGGTGGGGGCAGTGGGGATAGTGGGACAGTGGTGGGGGCGGTAGTGGCGGGGGCAATGGTGAGGGCGGTGGCGGGGGCGGTGGCGGGGCAAGGCATGGGCATCGGCGCTGGGGGGAGTGGCGGGGGCAGCGGGTGCAGTGGGACACTGGCGGGGGCAGTGGGGGCAGCGGGGCAGCGCAGTTAGACGGCGGTGGGGACAGTGGGGGCAGTGGGGCAGTGGTGGGGGCAGTGGGGGCAGTGGTGGGGGCACCGGGGGCAATTTGTAGGGTCGGACCGTGGTGGGGGCAGCGGTGGGAGCGGTGGGGGCAGCGAGACGCAGGTGGGGGCGCTGGTGGGGGCAGTGGGGGCAATGGTGGGCACGGTGGGGACAGTGGGGCAACGGTGGGGACAGTGGGGCAGTGGTGGGGGCGGTGGTTGTGGGGGCAATGGCGTGGGGACAGTGGGGCAGTGGTGTGGGGGCAGTGGGGCAGCGGTGGGGACATTGGGGG